ACATGGTGAACATATTTTTCCATTTGGATAATAACCTTCTTCACATTCAATTACTGTTCCATCTTGATGACATGTTTTACAATGGTCTTTTGTTGTACATGAAATACATTTCTCTTCATTTAAATAATAATTTGTTGAACATGTTGTACAATGATTAGAATCACTACAATCAATACATGAATTATTTGTTATTGTTAAACATAATTCACATTTTGTTTTTAATCCATAGTTAATTCCACATTTATTACATTCAAATGTTGTTGTTGAACAAGATACACAATTATTTATTGCTTTTGTACATAATTCACATTCAAATGAAGGTGTTAATGTATATGATGTTTCACAACTTGAACAATTTCCATTAATTGAACAATTTTGACAATGTAATGTACCTAATGTACATGGTTTACATTCATATCCATTTTGTTCTTCATCTATTATTTGTTTATAATAATCTTGACATTTATAACATACTTTCTCATTTCCAAGACATTTTGAACATCCTGGTATATCACTACATGGATTGCATTTTCCATTTGCATAATAATATCCTTCAATACATGAATAACATTTTCCTTTAGAAGTACATTCTTTACAATTAGGAATTGAATTATTACAAGAAATACAATTTCCATATTCTAAGTAATGAGTTTTTTGACATTCCAAACAATATTTTTGTGATGAAGAGCAACTTATACAATTATCAATCTTATCACAAGATTGACATGTTTTATTTGTTTCTAAATAATATCCAGATTTACAACTCAAACATATTCCTGTCTCATCACATTCCCAACAATTACTCACTTTTAAATCACATTTCTTACATGTTTCTGATTCTTTATAATCCCATATATCACATTCTAAACATTTAGTATCAGTACTTGAACATAATCCACATCCTTCAATATTACATAGTGTACATGAATTAGAAGATAATGTATAATTTTTAATACATTGTTGACAATATCCATTTCTATTACATGTTTCACAATATGGAATAGTACATACTTTACAAATATTTGTTATTTCATCTAAATAAAATCCTTCTTTACAACTTGTACAAGTAATTCCATTAGCAGAAAGACAACCAAGTTGTTGTTCATATCTAGTACAAACACCATCATTAACATAATAATTAACATAACATTTTGTACATTCTATTCCTGAATTTTCAACACAATTTTGAATCTTATGACATAATGAATTTTCAAAGTAATATCCACCTAAACATTCAGTACATGTTCTAATTGATTCTTCTGTTGTAAGAGTATTAATACATTTAGAACATCCTGTTATTGTTGTACAATTTTTACAATCACCATCTGGATAATATCCTGATCTACATGCTTGACAAATTAGTTGTCCTGTTGTTGATGTTGTAACTACAGAACAATTATCAATATATTGTTCTTTTAATACACAAATATCATTTTTTAAATAATAATTAGAAGCACATGTTGTACATTTATTTGTTGTATATCTTTCACATCGAATATCACCATGATTTATACATCTTCCATTTATTAAAACTTCAAGACATGGATTTTGATTTATTATTGGATAACATCGGTTTTCAATTAATACACGATCATCTTTACATTTCAAACAATAACTATTTGATGCTGTCTCACAATGATCAGATTTCGCATCAACACAATTATTATTACGATCAAATATATACCCTTCTTTACAATTAATACATTGAGATGAACTAACACACCCTTCTGTTCCACAATTGTCATTACATTTAACACACGTATTTCCATCAAACCAATATCCAGGTGAACATAACACACATGAAGTTGACGTTGTTGTCCAAGAACATTGAAGACATAGTGGATATTTATTTTGACAAGTTGTACAAATTCCATTTGATAAATAAGAATTTTCTAAACAAGAAAAACAAGAATTTGCATCACATAATTTACAATTTCTTGTTGAACATGAAACACATTTCTTATCTGACAAATAATAGCCATCTTGACATTTAGTACAAGTATTTGAATCAGAACAAGAAAGACAATGAGAAGAACATTCTAGTTGATTATTTATTAAATGAAAAGAGATAAAACAAAACGAAATTAAATGAAAAGAAAAGAAGTTAAAACGAAATTAAATGAAATAAAACAAACGTTTACATTCTCCACCAGAATAATAATACCCTGTATCTTCTTCACAACTCAAACATTGATGATCATTACATTGTTTACAATGTGAATATTTCTCAGGACATGTAACACATTTCCCTCCAAGTAATGTGTATTGTCCTGGTGACCCATTTGAACATTTATAACATACATTTGATGTACATTCAAGACAATTATTTCCCAAAGTAGCTGTATTTTTTAAACATGAATTACATTTCCCATTATTTGTTATATAAAACCCATCAGAACAAGATTGACATTGATTATTTGAACAGAGTAAACAGTTTGGATCAAAATTATCACATGGTTGACACATTTTTGAGTTCATTTGATTTCCACTTGGACAATCAATACATCCTCTCTCTTCATCACATTTTTTACAATCTTTTCCAAATTTTGTTGAACATTCTATTTTTTTTATCAATCTTTTTTGTTATTTATTTTTAACTAATGAACAACAAACCTTTACATTCATTATTTACTAAGTACCTTGTTCCATTACACTTAGTACATCTGTCAGATTGGAACATACAATCAAAACACGTTGAGTCACACCCTATAATTTGTTATTTATTTTATTGTTTTAAATAACATTAAATAAAACATACTTTTACAAAAACGACCATCTTTGTAACACCCAGTACTACAACTAACCATGAAAGTATGATAATAACATCCTGGGTCATGTGAAGCTAAAACCTTGAGAATACTAATTAAAAGCAATGACAAAACCATTGTTTATATTAAATATATTTTAGAGTTTAAGTCAAAAGTATTTGACAATTTTAATTTATTATTAACTTCTCTTAATTTTCTTATGAATTTTATTTGGGAAACAGAGCTAATTCTTTTTTTTTTAACACATCTCATTGAATTAAAAAAAGGAGATTCGAAGGTGGCACCTCAGAGGCACTACACAAAACTCTAATATGTCCATGCTTCGAATCCCCTAGTTATCGTCTGGTTATGATGTGCTTTAGTGAGATAACATACCACCAAATACTAGTTGGTTATTTTTTTTATTATGACTGATTATTATGGAGGCATTATAAATAATGACTATTATTTATAAGGATTATTATTTATTTTGATATGAGACTATTTAATTATTATGGTGGTAGTATTATTATTAATTAGGACGTAACATATTTATCAACGATAGATTTGAGCTGAGTACATGGTGTGTTATCAAGAAAAAGGGTTCTTTAATTGGTGTTGATGATAAAGAAGATAGGCCATAGTCTCATAGTGGTTATGGATATATTCTTCTAATAATAACACATAAACAATGAAGAGTTTTAATACTCATTTAATTCAAGGTATAAATCAAACAGCAACTTAAATGAGGAACCATTTAACTCGCGGGTGTTTGAAAAAACATTATTTCATATGAAATAAAGCATGTTGAAGAAACTGGTTTTTGCTCACTTCTCAACATGATGAAAACCTAAATATAGGTAATTCATAATTGATTCCTTTATGTCTCATTGTATTAAAAAAAGAAACTTATTTTTATTTTGATGTTTTTTATTTTTTTTTCTTTTTGACTTATTTTATATTTCATAAATGTAAATATTATGTTGATTTATATTTCATCGAGAAGAATCGAAATTGATAATTATTGAAATATCGTTAATTTAAAGGTATAAAATTTTTAGGTAGTTTAAATGTTTTGAATCTTCTAGTTTGTTGTTTAACTCTCTTTCTTTGTTTTTAATAATAAAAATATCTTTTAATGTCCAATAACATCTTTTCTTTTTAAAATTGAAACTGATAATCAAAAAACTTATCAAATTGTTTCAATAAGTATCAAAATATTATAATATACTTAAAAAAAACAATATTCAATGAGATATATTTATTTGAATAAAACTATTCAATGATAAAAAGTTTTAATTTCTTAATTGTTCTGTTTTTTTCAATTGTTTTAAAAACTCCATTATTTCAAAACAAATACATTTATTTAAAAATAAACGAAATGATATATCTTTAGTAAAAAATAGAAATGAAAGTCTTGTAGTTCAAAGTAAATTAGTTTAAAAGTAAACAAAAGAAATGTACTACCTTTATTCTTATTCAACAATTGTACAACACAAAAAAGGAAAAGATAAAACAAAATTAATACATCATAATTAAAAATTAGTTAATATCAAAACAAATAAGACTCTAAGTAATTTATAAGATTTTTCATTAATTTATTTTTACTACTTCCTTCAAAGATTATTGACTTTATGAATAAAACAAAAACAATGAACTATTTGAAGCTATCAAGAAGAAGAAGTGTAGTTGTAAAAAGAAAAACAAATAGTTATAATACAAAAATAAATAAAAACGTTAATTACCAAAAAGATTTTAATACAACAAAAACAAAAAAATAGAATCAACAATTCAATAAAAAGAGTTTCTAATAATTATCTGAATGAAATAACTTAAATTAAATATTTATTTGTATCTTTATCATAATAAACAAAAAAAAAACAAAAGAACAATTGTACTTTAATCATTTTTCTTTATTATTTAATATTTCATTAGAGTATTTATATTGTTTGTTCTCATTTAAATAATTATTTAAACATTCTATTCTTTATAAAAACTTTATGTTCCAAAATAATTTAAATAAAGAAGTTAATTAAAATGATGTATAAAAGAGAATAAAACCTTCAAATAAAATAAGATAACTAAAAAAAACATATAAATTTCTTTGAAATTTAAATTCCACTGTTTCATTTATTTTTATTTAATTAATTTGTGTTTTTTATTACATAAATAATAATTAAAATAAATTAAAATAAATTAAAATAAATTAAAATAAATTAAAATAAATTAAAATAATAAACAAAATTTAATTTATTAAAATGGTTTATGTTTAAACTTATTTAATGTGTAATTCAATCGATCAATAATTTTCTCATCCCCAGTTGATAATATTTGTTTATATTTTTCAACAAATGTACTTGAAGATACCATTTTTTGAATTTGTTCATTTTCTGTAATAAAAGAACAAATAAAACAAATAATTTTAAATAATACTTTAGAACCAACAGGAAGTGTTGATATTTGATTTTTTAATACATTCATAATTACATCGTTTTGATAAATAGCACGTTGTCCAATAGGATTATTTTGAACAATAGATTGTAAAACCCACCAAACAGTAAAAAGAATATCTTCGTTTTTTATTTCTAAAAGAAGTTTACCTAATTCATATTGACCATTCATTTTAATAAAATCATTTGCATTATCAATACTTTCTACCAATTCTTCAAGATTATTTAATTCAACTTTAAGTTGCTCTTCACTTATTTCTGTCTTTTCACCTTTAGATTTTTGAGTTAAATACTTATCACTCTTCTCTAAGATTGAATACATTAGTTTAGCATCACTCTCAATTGAGTCCATGACCTTTTTTAACCATTCCATATCTTCTTTTGATGCTTTGGGTCTATTATCCTCTCCTTTAAACCCATATGAAAGACAAAAATTTAATAATCCATCATTCATATTTTCAAATTCAACTTTTTTCGACGTTGATTCATTCCATATTTTTCTATCATGTTGGTTATCGTGTGAGTCAGACATTTAATGATTCATTTTAGTTGGTGGGTAGTATTTAAGTAAATAGGTATTGACGTTAGTGACGTATTTGTACAAAGAAGGTACGTAAGTGCCACGTTTATTTAATTATGAATAACACAAATCAATTCTTTTTGTTATTTCATATGATTCTTTTTTTAGTTTATACTAAATATAAATGAATCATGAAATAGAAGTATTTTTAGAAATCTATTTACACTTAAACCATGCAACAAGAAAATAGCAACTGTATAATTGTTACTCCTGAATATAACATGGAAAGTATTTTAGAAAGACTAAATATAATTGAAAAAACACTTTCCACCTTACCAAAAACAATTGAGGATATTATTTCCTCTTGTTTGAACAAATATGATTATGCCTGAAGATTATGCTAGCCCTATGAAAAGGTTATCTCAAATGATTAATGAAAAGGAATTATCTCAAAAATCTTCAAATGAAAAGAAAGGCATTAAAGAAGAAGAATATCGTCTGAAACAAAATAAAGAAGAAATTAAAAGAAATTGTCTTTCTTTAAGTTCAACTCTTGACGTTGGAATTGAAAAAATAAAAATTTGGAGGAGTTATCAACTGATATAACTGATTCAACAAAACAAGGAAATATTCCTCCAAATTCTGAATTAGTAACTAAACCAATAATTATTTGGGAAACTCTTCCACAAAAATCTCAAACAGTTATTGTTCAAGAAGACTTTGTTATTGTTTATAATGAAAACAAAGGTCTTATTCGAGCAAATGATGAAGAAGTTGTTTTTAATATTTGTAATTGCAATGTTAATGATTTAAATGTGACTGATTCTGGTTCAATCCTTGTAGCTACTGATGAAGAACTATTTCTTATTAATAAAGGAGAAGTTGATAAAGTTATTAGATCATTTACTTCTGCATGTGAATTTAATAAACAAATCGTAACTGCACTAAATAGAGATTGAATTATAAAGTTAATGGCAAAGATGTTCTAATTAAAAATTTAACATCAAAAATTCAATTAGAAATACCAACTAAAATCAGATCAAGTAAATCCTATTTATTTGTTCAAGACATTGGAACAATCATTATTACTGTTTTTAACACTTCATTTAAAACAATTAAAGCTATTAACAGTAAAAATGTTGGTGACTTTTGTGTTATTAATGACAGTCAATTTGCAATACCCACTTCTAAATCAATTAAAATCATAAGATTCATTGAACATACACTAACTATAAATACAAAATACCACTTAAAATGAACCACCAACCAATTTTCTTGAAAAGAGTCGAGTTTGTAAGAAATTTACATGAGCCATGTATTGTTGGGCTTTCTCAAGATATGATAACAACCTATAAAATACCAATTGATTTAATTTTAACAATACAACAAATAACTTTTTTTAGGTTTAAAATTTTTTCATTGTTTTGTTTTTATGTTTCTCTTTTTTTCCTTATTCTTTAGAAATAATTTGTGATTTTTTGTTATTTATCTCTTATTTTTATTGTTTTTAACATTTTCTCTTCTTCTCATAGATTTTTTAATTCTTTTAAAATTTTCATCTCATTATTTTGTATATTGTTCGTTCTACATTATTTTGAATTGGTTGTGTTATTATTTTTATACGTTATTTTTATATTGAAAGTAAAATGAATTTGAATATTATCATTAATAAATTAAATTTGATATAATTCGTATTATAAACATTTGAAAATAATAAGAAATAAATAAGTGAAGTATATATTCAAATGAAAAATAATATAAATATAAATAAAATAGAATAAAATGATTATTATTAGCTTTTTATTTTATTTAAATGTCATTGTATTATCATATTAATATTATTTTTAGTTGTGTTTTAATGAGGTGATATATTTATTTATAATAGAAATAATAATAATAGGAGTAATAGAATAATAAAATTCAATTAAATATATTTTTATTTGTCATTTATATGTTTCTTTCAATAAAGAAACTTATGAACTGTTGTATTTTTATAAATAAATAAAATAATAATATGTTTTATATTAATTAAATACAATAATAATACAAGAAATGAATGGAAACAACAACTAAAAAGCAAATAATAGAAAAAAGAAGATAAAAATATAAAAGAATAAAAAGAAAGTAAAAAGGAGAATGTGATGATGAAAGAATAAAAAGAAAGTAGAAGATGATAAAAAGAAAGAAGATAAAGAGTAATAAAATAAATGAGATGATAAAAGATGAAAAGAATGTTGAAATATTTGGTGGATTTTATTGAAAAATAGAAATATGAAATAAAAATGTTTAATTTAATCGTGTAAATTATTTAATGTTGTTTTATTGATGAAAATATTTTATTTTTATGTTTATTATTTATTTGTATAATTTCATTATGATATTTATTATATTTCAATCATAATTGTTATATGATTATTATAAAATATAATATGTAATAAAATATAAAATATAAAAGATATGAATAAAAGATATAGAATGAATATAGAAAAAGAAAAGAATAAAAGATAAAAAATAAAAAATAAAAAATAAAAAAAGAAAAGATAATAAAAGATATAATAATAAAATCAAAATATAAAAATAAAAACAATATAAATCAAATTAGAATAAATATAAATCGAAAGTATATATAAATGATAATAATATAAAAGATGAATAAACAAATAAACAAATATATCTAAATAAAAAAGAATATAAAAAAGAATATAAAAAAGAAAATATAAAGAATATAAATATAAAAATAATAAAATAAGAAGAATATAATAATATATAGATAAATAGATTATATAAATAATATAATAAAAGAAATAAATATATAAAAATAAAATACATAAATAACATAATAACATAATAATAAAAGAATAAAAGAATAGAAATAAATATGAAACATCAAAACATCTATTTCATTAATATTTCATACAAAATAAATACAAATAATTATAAAAGATAAACATAACTATTTACAAATTCTATATTTATCATTCTTTTTTTTATTTTTATTTTATTTTTTATTTTATTTTTATTTTATTTTTATTTTATTTTTATTTTAGGAGTAAAATATAATAAAAGGAATATTCTATTGATGTAAAATATTTTACATCTTTTTTCTTTTTTTTGTAAATTATTTAGATGCATTATTTCTTTGCTTATTTGAGGTTCTGTTGTTTGATATAAAATGTTTGTAAAAATAATCAAAAAACTTGTATTTCTTCACTTTCATAAGAGTTATCAGTTATTTGAATTAATACATAAATTCATTTCATTCAGCGCTTCTTTTTATATTCAATTTGTATTTGAATATGGAAATATGTCATTTGTCTAAATTATTGAACATCTTCACTATGTCATAGTCTATATTTAAATTGATATATATATATATATATATATCACCAATAATACTATTCTTCTTCTACTTGGTTATTCTGAAAATTTATTAATGAAAATAAATGGTTATAAAAATATCAAAATAATTCCATCATAATTAAATTATTATATAATACTTCATTGATTCTCCAATTTGATTTGGTTCCACAATCATACATTCTCCTGAACTTTTTACTTCTTTTTCTCAATTTATTTGCATATTAGCATCACACCATTTTAACTATTAATATTAATAACAACTTCACTTTGTAACATTATTTCTTTTGTTTTCTGTTAAAACATTCGATTCATATCATTCATTTCTTCTAAACTCCATAATCTACAATTCAGTATTCCAATAGTACATAAAGTTAATTAACCTTGGCTCTTTACTATCAATAATAACAGAAATTAATATTCATAGTCCTAATGAAATACTACTTTGTTCTTCAATGTGTTGAATTGATTTTAAATATTTAGTATTATCATTATTATATAATTATGTCATTTCATTGACAACATCATTATTAATATCCCCATTATTTAATATTTATGTATTAATAACAATTCTTTGTTTTGTATAATCCCACAATTTCTAACACCTTTCCTATTTCAATCTATAAACACTTTTTGTTGGTATAATTTTCTTTTAAAACATATCCTTATTGATAATTGGTATTCTTTACTACATCTAAATGAATAAGAAATTTTCTTTATGTGTATCTTCAGTATTAATAGTCAATGCATTGTTATGAAATTCAATAAATAATAATTATATCGTTTCTGGAAATTCGATCAAATGTGATTCAACTTTATAATCATGAATTAGTGTATCAGGAATGTCATTGGTAAAATCTTCTCACTTTCTGTTCCACAAAATCTATACTTCATTTATGTTTTCCTTAAATTCTAAATGAAAAAAATCATTTTCACAATATGTAATAATACTAACTCAACATAAATAATGTTTGTATTAAATGTTTCATTGAAATCAACATATCATTGTGATTGTATAAAATCATGTCTTCTTTCAGATGGAGTGTATTTTTGTGTTGATATCGGGAATTGCATTTTTATTGAAAAAATGTTTGTTTGTTAAAAATTGCATCAAGAAAGTAAAGAAAGAAATTAGTTCAAAATTGTTAAGAAGAGAAAGATGATTTTTAACATAATCTCAAATAATAATAAAATAATAATAAAATAATAATACTTTATTATAAAAGAAAAGTAAATATAATGTTAATGAGAAAGTCATGTTTATGTTTAATCATAGAACGTCAAGAAATAACACTAATAAATGAATATTTGATATATTGTCATTGTGACATTATCTATTATTGTATTTTTATTATCTAATTTAATACGATTCACGCCATTTGATATTAAGCAGAAATTATAATCACCCTATGAAAGAACAAGTGGTATAAATCAATTTGAACATCCTACTTATGTTGATTCATTATTTAATATGACAAGATTTAATATTCTGGAGAATGTGGAAAAGTATTTAAATAAAAAGCTAATAACAAACATGATTTGTTATTATTTGCATCTCCTTTCGATGATGCACAACGATGGGGGTAAAATGAAAGAATCAAATCAACACATTATGGCATTGGCTGAGTCAGTTCTTCCAAGAGCAAAAAATTATTATTACTTCTTGGAGGTGCACCAACACCAACATTTAAAGAAGAAATAAATACATATGGAATAGAAGTAGTAAAAGTAAGGTATGAATTACCAGTAGCAACAGCAGTTGTTCAAAGAATTTTTGCAGAGAAGATTTTTCTTGAGAGAACAAACATATACGACAGAGTTATTATTGCAGACTTTAGAGATGTACTTATTTTTAATGATGCATTTGCCACATTTTCTACCAATGACCTGATATTATTGATGGAATGTTTATCGTTCAATTCAACTGAACTTTGTGTAACATTAAATGAAAAAACAAATAAGAAATGAATGAGTGAAGCATATAGTGAAGAATTAAGTAAGAAATTTGCAGAAAATAATGATATTTTAATGAATGGAGGATTATTTCTTGGTGGAATAGATAAAATAATAGAACTTCTAACAATTTAAATTAATAATTTAAATAAAAACAAAGATGTTATGAGGACAAGACCAAGCCACATTAAATTATATTCATCTAATTGGACAACTAAATCATTTAAATAGTACTAAAGATTATTGCACTCAAAGAATGTGTTTTGCAGAAAGTTTTACTGGGTATTACGATAAAACAATGAAACGAATAACAACAAAACCAACAGGATGTTCTCCAATTATCAGACATAAGTTAGTATTTTCAGAACCTCGTTTTAAATATCCACCTAATATTAATTAATATTTTATTTTTATATTTAATTTTCTTATTTCTTCTTCTTTATTTCTTTCTTTTATTTGATGTTTTATATAATATTTTCTATTCATATCTTCTAATGTTTTCTATTCGTATATTCATATTCTCATTAGTATATCTTCATTCTTAATTCATTCATTACTTATTATTTTTATATCATAGTCATCTCATTTAAGATGTAAAATATTTTACATCAATAGAATATTCCTTTTATTATATTTTACTCCTAAAATA